GAACATATGGAGTGTACATCGTAAGTTAAAGACTGGCACAATATGTACACTGAAAAAGTAATAGCCAAAAGCAAAACTTTTCCAATTCAGCAATCGACTGTGGAAGAGCATTCGTAACTAAGGCAGGCATACAACAAATGGTGGTGTGTTAGATCAGACTATTCATTTGACTGATAAGGATCCCATGATCTACTGGCTACCAAAGGTGCCGGTTTTACTTCGAATTTTTTTTCTATCAAACTTCGCTAAATCTGCAGCACTTGACCTCAGCCACCAGCATACCTACAGCCTATTTGGCGATAGTTGCCCTTGCCTTTGACAACAGAACCATTTTTTTTTTGCTATTGATGGATGTACTAATTCCAAAGACACAAACCAATCAAGAACTCGCAAGCTTTCATCCACGGAAACGAGCAATATCAGCCAAATGAACAGTGAGTGAAACACACCACAGCTTATCAACACAAGAATCAATACGAATGAAACGCAGCCTATCATTACAATTGCTTCAAGGAACAACAAAACCATTCGATGATCACTTTAATAGGTAACGAACAGGCACTTTTCACGTTTTTTTTTCAATACAAACTCACAACACTCGAAAAAACTATGCAACTACACCTTTGGAACAAAAATATTATTAATATAAACGTAAATCACTTCAAATTCTAAAACCATAATTTACCCTTTAGGACAATAGAATCAGCTTTTTAGGGGTTTAGATTTTCAAGTAAAAATGAGCCAAAATTTTGAACTATAATTTGTGACCAAATAAAACATTTGGATTAAAATTAGTTTTGGTACATGAGTCCATAGCAACATTGATGACCGCTAACTTCATGTTGTTCTCATGACTATTACACGAGATAACGCACCTATCAGATCTTCATAAAAATAACATTTGTAGAGTAAGGTGGGGCAAAAGTTCGATCTTAGATGAAGAAATTAAAATTTATCTAAACTCCAAGCATCCATCGAAATCATCTTAAGCAAATCCAAAGAGGTACAGTGATTTAAAAACGCTATATTAAATATAATCCGATGAACAATTCTTACTAATTCTACTCAGCTACTAAATCAATGCAACCCCTTCCAACTCCTTGAACATAAAAACCGTTTATGCTTGTGATACTAATCACCATGCTCCTCTTTATTAATAATTATTTTCAACACATGCGTAGCTATGCTTTTCTGCCTTAAAAGTAGATTATCTCCAATTCCAATTTAAATTTTAATTGGAGATGTTAAAATGTTATCAGAAAGTGAACCAACAGAGTGAATGCGAATCTTTCCGAAAATGTTTCAATTGAAAAAGATCGTGACATTGCGAAACTTTTCAGAAGGTATTGAACTAAGAACAAAATTCTACAACGATACGTTAAGGTTTAGTTTGGAAAATAAAAAATCTAATAATTACTGAACTGAAAGACGAGCTGAAAATGGGATTAGGAGTAATCCAAAAATGGAATTAAGAGAATCTCTTAAATATGATTCAGAGAATCCCATCAATGAGATTCAGAGAAACTCAAAAATGAGATTAAGTGAATCCAAAAAAAATAAATTCAGAGAATCCTTAAGCTGGGATTCGGGGATCCTAAAGATGGGATTAAAAGAATCCCAAACCTGATAATCAAAGGATCCCCAATAATGGATTCAGAGCATCTGAAATATATAATTCAGAGAATCCCAAATAAAGGATTCAGAGAATTCCGAAACAGAGATTCAGAGAATCCCAAAAATGAGATCCAGAAATGTTCAAAAAGGGGGTTAAGAGAATCTCTAAAATAAGATGCAGAGAATTTAAAATATAGGGTTCGAAGAATCCCATAAATGGGATTCAGAGAAACCAAAAATGAGCTACAGAGAATCCAAAAAATGGGATATGGGAAATCCGTAAAATGGCATTCAGAGAATTTTTAAAATTTGATCTGGGGAACCTAAAGATAGGATTAAGAGAATCCCAAAAATGGTAATCAGAGGATCCTAAATAAAGTATTCAGAGAATTTTAAATATAGGATTCAGAGAAACTCAAAAATGATATTCAGAGATTTAAAAAAAAAGTGATCAGAGAATCTCAGAAATGAGATTTATAGACTTCTATTAAATCTCATTTCTGAGCACTCAAATAGTATTCAGAGAATTACAAAAATATCATTCCGAAAAAAAAATTATTCAGAGAATCTTAAAAAAAAAAATCCAGAGAATCCCATGCATAAGATTAGGAAAATCCTTTATTATTGAGATTCTGAGAATCCCGATAGTAGTATTCAGAGAAGTCCATGAATGTGATTCAAAGAATCTTAAAAATAGTTTTTAATAAAATCCGAAAAATAGGTTTAAGAGAATCCGAAAAAGGCTAATCATAGAATTACAAATATGGGATCCAAAACTGAGATTTAGAAAATCCTAAAAATGAAATTTAGAATATTAAAAAAATAGAATTCAGAGAACTCCAAAAATGAGATTCAAATTATCCCAGAAACGACAATCATAGGATCCCATGAATAGGATTCATTAAATCCCTAAAAGGGATTCAGAAAGTCCCAAACATGGGATCAATAGATTTCCAAAACTGGGACTTAGAGAAACCCAAAAATTAATATTAGACTATCATTAAAATTGGATTTAGAGAATCCTAAATATGTATGAAAGAATCTCAAAAGTTGTAATCAGAGGAATCCCAACTCAGGATTCAGATAAAGAATCACGAAAAGGTGATTTGGAGAATCCTAAACATAGTGTTACGTAAGCAAACAATAATTTATTTCTAATGTCGTAAAGTTTGTTTTCCATTCACAATAAAGGGGATGGAAGGGGTTTAAAATTTTTAAAAATTGTACATAGTTAAGTTTGCATGTTCACATTATAGGTTTAGATTTTTCATAGTTTGAGGTAAATAGTTCTTAATCTTCATGGAATAAATCTGGTAGGGTAAAGTACTTACGTGCAGTCTCTTCTTCGTTATAGCAACTATCCATTGCAAGAAGAAGAGGTTCTACTCTGTATTCACAAGGGTTCAACAATTTCCCAACGGGATTTATGTTTTTTCAAATTAAATAAATTTTTAGCTTTAATTTCAAACCGTAACGTTCAATTTACGTTTCTATTTTCTTTAGCTACTGACGCTTTGTCACCGTCACAAGTCGATCAACATCACAGAATTCAGAAGCTCTACCTTTGACGAATCAATCAATCAAGATAGCACTACATAGATGCATCGAATTGTAAAAATATCGACAAATGGACGGTACAATACATGGGTAAATGAAGAGACTGCATGATCTATCAAGTTATAGAAAATATCGAGTTGTGGAGAGTTGACTCTATTAATACTGGTCATCCCATATCAATGCATAATATCCCTCAAAGTAACATTACATTATTTTGCCCAGGTTTTTGACCTAGTTACTCCTCTGTGCGTCGGTTCGAGACCACAAATATAGCTTCTTTTCTATTTAACTTCCTTCTTCTCTTTTCAGAAAGCAAATAATGGCGCTATAACCATAAGCAATATACACTGATAATGAAACTAACTCAGAGAGTGAGTCAACTTAAACTCAGTGGTATGTATGGATACACTTCTAAAAGCGCATGTTACTCATACCTTGAGAGTGACCTACGTTTTTTGAAATGTCTTCATACTAGTGAGTAAGAGTGACTCACATCTAAGTAAAAATGACTCATTATCTGATTTAGTTTCGCATTCAGGGTAGGGCTAGGACAAGAGTTAGTGCTAGTTGAAAATGGAGCATCACAGAGACTAGATGCGCAAAACGACCAACTTTTATAAATTGCATAACAACGAAACGAAATGTCCACGTTTCGTCCATTTATTGAATTTTAGGACATCGTGTTTAAATCCTGCCCGATGTTTCTGAATCATCTTGCCCCTTAAATGCCACACAATGGGTTTTGCTATGTGTTGCGCATCTCTAATGTAGGTATATCCATCATTTTCCTGAATGCTTTCAAGAACTGGCTGTGTTGGGGTTAGATGAGATTATATTAGATTAGATTAGAGTAGTGTGTACAAAGAGAATGAAATAGTGTGTACAAAGGGAATGAAAATATGTATACGTAGTCTATAGACAGCCCCAAAATTAAATCGGAAAACGGTACATGCATCGGATTCCTTGATGAACTGATCCAGTTAAAAAGGAATTCACGTTTTCGTGCCCACGGTACTGCCCGCCAAGAGTACCATCTCAATAAAAGCCTAAATCCATCGAAAAGCCCAACCACGCCACTGTTCAAGCATCAACTTGCCACAGCAGCACTGTACATCGTCATCGTCTGCACAAACGCAGAGCATCGTTCGTTGAGCAAGTTATTTTATTTTCATTTTTGTTGTAGTTGTTTCATATACCTACATACCTACCTACCTACTCGCTTGCCAGGTTTGTCTTTGTTTTGCAACATTCTTGATTCAATTTTCTCCTCGTTTCTGGGATATTGCTTTTCTCGTGTTTGTTGTTTCCCTTCTTTGGCCTGTGTGCCTTTTACCTTGCTCACCATGGATAACCTCTATATTTCGAAAGAGGTTACCGAGATGCCGCCTCTGCTGTTGCTGCTGAACCTGACGGGTTAGATTGGGTTGGCGAGTTTTTTTTTTGAGAGGAAGAATTCCACAATGGTGAATGAAAGCATTGAAATATGCAGCAATAATTTGCCTATTGTGTCAATTTGCGAGAAAGGGTCTTGAGTTGTGCAAGGTCTTGCAGTTCAACTGGTTACTCGTTTTACGAGCAAATAACTGTAATAATTAACTATTACAGTCGATACCAATTTAGAAGGAAGCGTGTTTTAACACCACATATAAGAGAACGCTTATCTTCGATGACACGTGTGAAGACATATCAACAGAACAAAGAATATCCAAAACGCCTCAATTACTCGCTGGTCAACGTCTTCATTGTTTCAGCACCACTTAAATTGAAAGAGCCACCTTATGCTTCAGTCTCTACCTATCTTTGCTTGAAACTCATGCGCTCGTACTTACCTGATAATCACCGAAGGTGTCATTGACGCCAATCGTCATGTTGGAGTTAATCAGATCATCCTCGCAGAAGCCATAAGCAGCAGAAGGCGTCATCGTCGCCGTCGCTCCAACGCCGGTCAATGGGATTGAGTCCATGCTGAGTAAACTGAACGGAAGTAACGAGGTGGTGGTGGTCATCGTCGGAACCATCGGAGCCACCGGTGGATGATAGATTCCGGTCGCAGTTGAGCGGATTTGCTTCCAATCGAGAAGGGGTGGTGGCATTGGATGGGGAGGCAGTACTGGGAAAATCGTTGTTGTCGCTGCCGTCATCGTCGTCGTCGTGGCGTTCGCCGGTCCTGGGTAGCCATTAGTGTAAATATTATTACTATTCCAATAACCATCGACACCCACAGCGGTGGCGGCCGGATGGAAGCCATAGTAGGGGTAGCTAAAGCGATTGCTACCGTGATGGTAGAGAAGGGATCCAGTTTTGACGCCATCACTGGAGCTTCGATAGTTCCAGTCGGATAAGCTTCGCTTCATCGACGACGATTGGAGATGATTGTTATTGGTGACGCTGTTACTGAATCTCCCCGGGGTCAGAGATAGGTGGTCCACTGGTGGTGCAGGTCCATCGTCGACCGAGGAATCGGAGTCCGAGGCGTTATTGTCGTACGGCGTCCAGAGCATGGAGGATAGCGCCTCCTCCACGTCCGGTGGTTTGCGGAACGGGCGTGATTGGTTCATTTCCACTGATTGGCAGGGATCTGGAAAAACAGCAAATGAGAAATTTATTGGAGATTTATTTTTTTATTGAGGTGGGAAATGGATTGTTGGTATCGCTTTATGAAGGCGCTTTTATTGTTACAGATGAGTTTGGTACGATATAGACACTTTTACGGAATGGGAATTTTCTCGATTTTTCTCGATGAATTGGTTGGTATAGAATGCTCTTGATTAATAATTGTGACAGTGCTTCAAAAACTACGTTTAGAACAGACAACAGCTCATAAAATCGCTAGTTGTTACCTTCTGAAAGAAAAATTGACCAATTTGATGTGTTGTACACAAACTTTACCACCTCTTCTTGCATCTTGCAATTACGTAAAATAGCATTTTAGCTGTAATGAGCAATTGCAAGCCTGTTTACAGGTTAAGTAAGTCAGTTAGTTTTCTTTATTCAAGAGGCTTTCAATTTTGGCTGATTTACAAAATAAGTACAGTGCGCTGAATTAAAAAGATTTGTCGCTTCACTTTTGAATAGGTGTTACATACAATGAACGATTCTCTACATCTATTTTCTCTTTACAATACCAAGGCCATGCAAACACATTTCGTGGTAATTTTGCCATATTATAAAAAAAGGTATTACCTACCACCCAAAACTTCAAATATAACAGATAATGATAATGGTTATGCTATCAACGAACGAGAACGTCAATGAAGAGAATCGATCAATTTAAGAGGGCCTTTTGAAAATGAGATTTCTTTCCATATAACATATAAAAACAAGGTTCGAAGACGAACAAAGTAGAACATTTGCAGGTAATATTGAACACTGTGAAGTGCTATTTAATTTTGTTATAGCTTTAGATAGCAGTAATACTTCCTTCAGCAAAAAGAAAATAGATCCACATGGCAACAGAGCACGATGCGGATTGATTTTCATTTTGATATATTTAAGATTTCTTTCCTATTTTTTTACTAAAATGATATAAAGGAAAATACAAAACTTTTATCCGAATAAAATTTATATCTTCTTTCTATGGACACCAATAACACTAAGACACTGAGAGAAAGATAGGGAGTAACTTAAATATTAATTTTAAAAAAATGGCGAGAAAGTTCACTTTTTTTTTAATTTAGTAAGTTCTGTGGATTTTGAAAGTATTTCAGAATAGTTTTTAGTATAATTAGAAAAGATTGTCAGAAGGATTTTTATATTTATATTAAAATCCTACTCCTAAAGTCAATTATATATAAAATCCTCTTCGCACCACCCTTATACCTGTAAATCGATGTCGACCTTGACATGTGCCTTATATGCTTTCACTAACCCGGGACTATCACAATAGCCTATTATGTAATAGCAGACCAACACTTCTCTGGATCTCTGGATAGTAGGTAGTGATCGAGAGTGTAGCAGACGGTAGTAGCCGCGATCGAGATACATACAGAAGTTAGTTTGTTGATCTCCACCCGGTCACCGATCTGGACGTACACACGTTGCTATCGGTCGTACAATGTGGTGCAGAGAGAGGTGAAGCAGATCGTGAAATATTGTTGTATTAGTAAACCAAAAAATCCATGTAAACGCAAGTAGTGACGTCACTCATTGCTTGTATCGTACAGGGGTTTTACTCACACAACTTAACAGATTAATTCACTTCGGTAATCCAGCTCATCGGTACAATATAGGTCGTACAATAGCGTGCTAAAATCTTGTGGTGCCCACAAGATTGCCGTGTCAACGAAGTCACGAGTTCCCCGCGAGTGTCCGCGAGTTCTTCACTTCTCGTTTCGAACACCTGGTTTTACCATAACCCATCAAAGAATTCAGGACGCATGACCCTAAGACCTTAAAATATCTGTATCAAAATATTGAGCAAAAATTGTTTCATTTTAGGTAAATTTGTATACGTGGCATTACTTCCAATGAATCCGGTTTCCAGTTTATATTTTCATTAATCGTACCATTTTTATTGCACCTTCATTTGAGTCAAATCTATGCTTACGACTACTTTGCATGAAATATTATTAATATTTTTTTGTTCATTAATGTAATTGATAAGGCTCAACCAAATTAACTTTACAGAGCCGAGGATTCTTGTTCACTATACAATACAATCTTAAAACTATAGTCAAAAGGTACAACACAATGAACATTTTATCTTCCGCTATCCAATAAGCCTCCTCCACCAGAACGGGTCCTCCTCAACTGCACAAAGCCAACGCGTGCGTGGCCTACCCCGAAGCCGACGTCCTCTTCCAGGTTCCCTGCTGAATATTGACTTCGCTTGACGCTCTTCCGGCATTCGTGCCACATGCTACATTAAATACTTGGTACACACTAAGATTTTTTTACAGGAGTCAGTATTTTTTTACTGGGTTTTTGAATTGCTGAAAAAGTCGGTAAAAATTCAAATGACCGTTATCCGTAAGGAATCAATGAAATCGATCAATTTTATTTTCTATCATTAAATGGGGTTAACAGAACTAGGGTAAATGTTGGCTTCGGCACCCATTGACTGTTTTCGGCAACCAAAATTTAAACGATAATTTCACTATCTTTTCCCATCAACACACTTCCCTGAATGTATTCAAACGATTCTTTAGTCTTTCAGCTTCAATCTGATTATATTTGTACGACCGAGCAATCCTATTATGCCAGATTTTTCTTCAAATGAAGTATACGCACTACAAAATGGGGCTGATTTCGAGTTGCCGATAATAGAACAGCTGGTTAACACGCAGTTCTAATGGGAAGGTTGCCGAAGAAAAAGAGGCTGCCGACAATAGTCACACTCACCTGAGAAGTTTGGAGCGTTGTAAAATCGCTTTCAAACCGGTTTGAAAAATTCTGTCGATTGGAATGGATAGAGAAGCAAGCAGCAGATGAATGTTAACAAACAGACACGTGATATATGTGCGTAACGCTGACAAAATGCTAATAGAAGTGCGGACGCTGCTTAGATTGACGAGAATACGTAAATTCCCCTAAGTATGTACAAGTTCAGAACAAATTTTCTCATTAATAAATTTTCCACAGTTTTTTAAACTTTTACCGAACAGTTCCGCAATTCAAAAACTCGGTAAAACCGTACTGACTCGATTAGTGTGTACAACTCGTGATTCATGCGCCGCCGCCAGATGCCATTTTCCAGTTTACCGCCGAGTATTGTTCGCAGCACTTTACGTGCACGATTCGTGGCCATAAAGGGCTACCGGCACAATCAACGTCTTGTACAGCGCGAATTTCGTTTTCGTACGCAAGCTGCGGGACTTCAGCTGGCTACGCAACCCATAGAAAGCCCTGTTCGCGGCTGCTATACGCCTTTTCACCTCGCGGGTAACATCATTATCGCACGTCACTAAAGTACCAAGATAAACAAATTCGTCCACAACTTCAAATTTTTCGCCATCTAGCACCACTTCACTACCAACACCACTATTGCTCCCACGCTTTCTACCGGCGACCATGTACTTCGTTTTGGTAGAATTTATCGTGAGATCAATAATCCTCGCTGTCTCCCTCTTAAAAGGCGCGAACGCCTCTTCCACTGCTCTACGGTCGATTCCGATGATGTCGATGTCGTCCGCAAAACCAAGGAGCATGTGCGACTTTGTGATGATGGTACCATTCCTCTGCAACCCGTACACATGTTTTCGAACCATCCAGCGTTGCACGAATCAGCCTAATTAGTTTCGTTGGAAAACCGTTTTCTTGCATTATCTGCCATAGCTCGTTTCTCTTTACTGAATCGTACGCTACCTTGAAATCTATGAACAGATGATGAGTCTGCAAGTTGTATTCCCGGAACTTCTCAAGGGTTTGACGCAGGGTAATCATTTGATCCGTCGTTGATCGACCCTCACGAAAACCAGCCTGGTATTCGCCGACGAAGGATTCCTCAAGCGGTCTCAATATGTTGAACAGAACACGTGATAATATTTTGTAAGCCTAATTCAGAAGCGTGATTCCTCTGTAATTGGCGCACTCCAGTCTGTGTCCCTTTTTGTAGAGGGGACAAACGAGACCATCCAACCAACTAGCGGGTAATTCTTCCTCCTCCCATATCTTGAGCAGTATACGGTGGATCATCTGGTGCAGCTGCTCACTTCCGTGTTTGAGAAGTTCGGCCGGGGGCTCGTCCTTCCCCGCAGCCTTACTGTTTTTCAGCTCTCGTATCGCCTTTTTCACCTCTTCTAGCGTTGGTGGTTCCACAGCTTGACCATCGTCGTCGATGTGTGTTCTGTTTGTAGATGCTCTCTCGTTCTCTCCGTTCAGCAACGTCTCGAAGTACTCCTTCCACCTGGCAGCCACCATCGTTTTATCTGTCAGCAGATTACCTTCACGGTCATAGCACATGGCGGGAGACGGCGCTGTCTTACTCCTCACGACATTGACAGTTGCGTAAAACCTTCGCATATCATTCTGCTCCATACTTTCTTGCGCCTCAGCAATAACGCGTTCCTCGTATTGCCTTTTTTTCCTGCGATGGGTTCGTTTCTCGGCTGACCTTGCTACCCTGTACCGCTCTCTGTTCTGACGGGTACCAGACACCAATATCCGGCTTCTGGCGACGTTTATCTCCTCTGTCACTCGCTGCTCGTCAAACCACCCGTTCCGGGAGCGCCTCTGAGTTGTACCTATCACCTCTCGTGCTGTTGTGCTCACCGCTCCGTGGACAGCTTCCCACAGATTGTAGAGATTCTCGTTCACGTTGATTTCCGCTATCCGCTCATTCAGGTTCTGGTGGTACTCTGCAGCAACACCATCTACTGTCAAACGCTGGATGTTGAAACGCATCGATCTCCGGTTTCGCGAACTCGTAACGGTCGATAGACGCGCTCGAATTTTCGCGACAACGAGGTAGTGATCCGAGTCGATATTAGGACCCCTGAAGGTCCTAACATCTACGACATCCGAGAAATGCCGACCATCCACCAACACGTGGTCGATCTGGGAGCAAGTTTCGCCATTAGGGTGTCTCCAGGTGTGCTTTCGGATATCCTTGCGTGCAAAGTGGGTGCTACTGATGGCCAT